GCTTGGTTTAACGCTGCTTTTAAACAGTATTTCAGTGACATCATAAACAGAAGTTAAAAGTGGTTAGAAAACCTGAAGTGGTGCCAGTCTTAGTGGTTTGCCATTTTGGTGAAATGCTGACAGACCAAGGGTCATCATCGAGTCAGCCTGGTATTTGAACCCACGAACAGCGTATCCTGGCAGGACTGGGGAAGCAACTCTGCATTTACAGCTTCTTGGACCAGTGGGCTATACGCCCGAAGTGATAATAGGCCTTAGATGTTTACTATGTTTACACTTCGAATGTGGGATTCGAACCAACGAATCTTGGTTTGTGGCACGGCTCAGAGACGCAACTCTGCACAACAAACTGCGGACCTCATTTGAGAAGAGTGTTGTTCCTTGTTTAGACCCAATGCAATCCTTCATACATCAAGATGATACAACGAATAACAATGAAATCCAAGGAACAGAGTAATGGTTGTTTATTTCACCCGCATCAGGGATTGTCAACATGGTTTGAATGGAATGGTAAAGAATGAGACAAAGAAAAGAAACTGTTCAACATTTGCTGGTAGAAATGTATCTAAAGTGCATAAAATTAGCAAAGGTAATACACTTCTAAAAAACCAGATTCCCTTCATTCGTTACCAGATGCCCCTTGTCCTCTAAATTAGTATGTCCTCAGTAACCCAGAATTCCCATGTCCACCGTACCCCAGATTCCCCATGTCCCCCGTACCCCAGATTCCACATGTCCTCAGTACCCCAGAATTTCCATGTCCCACGTACCCCAGAATTCCCATGTCCCCAGTACCCCAGATTCCCCATGTCCTCATGATCAGTATGTCCGCAGTACCCTAAATTCCCACGCCCCTAGTACCCCAGATTCCCCTTGTCCTCAGTATCCCAGATTCCCATGTCCTTAGTACCCCACATACCCCATGTTCTCAAGATCAGTATGTCCCCAGTACCCCAGATTTGTCGTGTCCCCAGTACCCCAAAGTCCCCTCGTCCTCCGTACCCTAGATTCCCGTGTCCTCAGTACCCCAGTTCCCGTGTCTCCTGTACCCCAGATTCCCCGTGTTCTCATTACTCAAATTTCCCCTTGTCCCCAGTACCCCAGATTCCCATTGTCCCCAGTACCCAAGATTCCCCTTGTCCTCAGTACCCCAAATTCCCCGTGTTCTCAGTACCCCAGATTCCCCTTGTCCTCAGTACCCCAGATTCCCCTTGTCCCCAGTACCCCAAATCCCCGTGTTCTCAGTACCCGAGATTCCCCTTGTCCCCAGTTCCCCAGATTCCCCTTGTCCCCAGTACCCCAGATTCCCCTTGTCCACATTACCCTAATTTCCCCTTGTCCCCAGTACCCCAGATTCCTCTTGTCCTCATTACCCCAGATTCCTCTTGTCCCCAGTACCCCAGATTCCCCTTGTCCCCAGTACCCCAGATTCCCCTTCTCCTCAGTACCCCAGATTCCCCGTGTTCTCAGTACCCCAGATTCCCCTTGTCCCCATTACCCCAGATTCCCCTCGTTCTCAGTACCCTAGATTCCCGTGTCCTCAGTACCCCAAATTCCCGTGTCCCCTGTACCCCAGATTCCCCTTGTCCTCATGACTCTAATTTCCCCTTGTCCCCAGTACCCCATATTCCCCTTGTCCCCAGTACCCCAGATTCCCCTTGTCCTCAGTACCCCAGATTCCCCGTGTTCTCAGTACCCCAGATTCCCCTTGTCCTCAGTACCCCAGATTCCCCTTGTCCCCAGTACCCCAGATTCCCGTGTTCTCAGTACCACAGATTCCCCTTGTCCCCAGTACCCCAGATTCCCCTTGTCCCCAGTACCCCATATTCCCCTTGTCCTCATTACCGCAGATTCCCTTTGTCCCCAGTACCCCAGATTCCCCTTGTCCTCATTACCCTAATTTCCCCTTGTCCCCAGTACCCAAGATTCCCCTTGTCCCCAGTACCCCATATTCCCCTTGTCCTCATTACCCCAGATTCCCCTTGTCCCCAGTACCCCATATTCCCCTTGTCCTCATTACCCTAATTTCCCCTTGTCCTCATTACCCCAGATTCCCCTCGTCCTCTGTACCCTAGATTCCCGTGTCCTCAGTACCCCAAATTCCCGTGTCCCCTGTACCCCAGATTCCCCGCGTCCTCATTACTGTAATTTCCCCTTGTCCCCAGTACCCCATATTCCCCTTGTCCCCAGTACCCCAGATTCCCCTTGTCCTCATTACCGCAGATTCCCTTTGTCCCCAGTACCCCAGATTCCCCTTGTCCTCATTACCCTAATTTCCCCTTGTCCCCAGTACCCAAGATTCCCCTTGTCCCCAGTACCCCATATTCCCCTTGTCCTCATTACCCCAGATTCCCCTTGTCCCCAGTACCCCATATTCCCCTTGTCCTCATTACCCTAATTTCCCCTTGTCCTCATTACCCCAGATTCCCCTCGTCCTCTGTACCCTAGATTCCCGTGTCCCCAGTACCCCAGATTCCCCGCGTCCTCATTACTGTAATTTCCCCTTGTCCCCAGTACCCCAGATTCCCCTTGTCCTCATTACCCCAGATTCCCCGTGTCCTCATTACCCTAATTTCCCCTTGTCCCCAGTACCCGAGATTCCCCTTGTCCCCAGTACCCCAGATTCCCCTTGTCCCCAGTATCCCAAATTCCCGTGTTCTCAGTACCCCAGATTCCCCTTGTCCCCAGTTCCCCAGATTCCCCGTGTCCCCAGTACCCCAGATTCCCCTTGTCCCCAGTACCTCATATTTCCCTTGTCCTCATTACCCTAATTTCCCCTTGTCCCTAGCACCCCAGATTCCCCTTGTCCCCAGTACCCCAGATTCCCCGTGTTCTCAGTACCCCAGATTCCCCTTGTCCCCAGTACCCCAGATTCCCCTTGTCCCCAGTACCCCATATTCCCCTTGTCCTCATTACCCTAATTTCCCCTTGTCCCCAGTACCCCAGATTCCCCTTGTCCTCAGTACCCCAGATTCCCCGTGTTCTCAGTACCCCAGATTCCCCTCGTCCTCCGTACCCTAGATTCCCGTGTCCTCAGTACCCCAAATTCCCGTGTCCCCTGTACCCCAGATTCCCCGCGTCCTCATTACTGTAATTTCCCCTTGTCCCCAGTACCCCATATTCCCCTTGTCCCCAGTACCCCAGATTCCCCTTGTCCTCATTACCGCAGATTCCCTTTGTCCCCAGTACCCCAGATTCCCCTTGTCCTCATTACCGCAGATTCCCTTTGTCCCCAGTACCCCAGATTCCCCTTGTCCTCATTACCCTAATTTCCCCTTGTCCCCAGTACCCAAGATTCCCCTTGTCCCCAGTACCCCATATTCCCCTTGTCCTCATTACCCCAGATTCCCCTTGTCCCCAGTACCCCATATTCCCCTTGTCCTCATTACCCTAATTTCCCCTTGTCCTCATTACCCCAGATTCCCCTCGTCCTCTGTACCCTAGATTCCCGTGTCCCCAGTACCCCAGATTCCCCGCGTCCTCATTACTGTAATTTCCCCTTGTCCCCAGTACCCCAGATTCCCCTTGTCCTCATTACCCCAGATTCCCCGTGTCCTCATTACCCTAATTTCCCCTTGTCCCCAGTACCCGAGATTCCCCTTGTCCCCAGTACCCCAGATTCCCCTTGTCCCCAGTATCCCAAATTCCCGTGTTCTCAGTACCCCAGATTCCCCTTGTCCCCAGTTCCCCAGATTCCCCGTGTCCCCAGTACCCCAGATTCCCCTTGTCCCCAGTACCTCATATTTCCCTTGTCCTCATTACCCTAATTTCCCCTTGTCCCTAGCACCCCAGATTCCCCTTGTCCCCAGTACCCCAGATTCCCCGTGTTCTCAGTACCCCAGATTCCCCTTGTCCCCAGTACCCCAGATTCCCCTTGTCCCCAGTACCCCATATTCCCCTTGTCCTCATTACCCTAATTTCCCCTTGTCCCCAGTACCCCAGATTCCCCTTGTCCTCAGTACCCCAGATTCCCCGTGTTCTCAGTACCCCAGATTCCCCTCGTCCTCCGTACCCTAGATTCCCGTGTCTTCAGTACCCCAAATTCCCGTGTCCCCTGTACCCCAGATTCCCCGCGTCCTCATTGCTGTAATTTCCCCTTGTCCCCAGTACCCCATATTCCCCTTGTCCCCAGTACCCCAGATTCCCCTTGTTCTCAGTACCCCAGATTCCCCTTGTCCCCAGTACCCCAGATTCCCCTTGTCCCCAGTACCCCAGATTCCCCTTGTCCTCAGTAGCCCAGATTCCCCTTGTCCTCATTACCCTAATTTCCCCTTGTCCTCATTACCCCAGATTCCCCTCGTCCTCCGTACCCTAGATTCCCGTGTCCTCAGTACCCCAATTTCCCGTGTCCCCTGTACCCCAGATTCCCCGCGTCCTCATTACTGTAATTTCCCCTTGTCCCCAGTACCCCATATTCCCCTTGTCCCCAGTACCCCAGATTCCCCTTGTCCTCATTACCCCAGATTCCCCGTGTCCTCATTACCCTAATTTCCCCTTGTCCCCAGTACCCGAGATTCCCCTTGTCCCCAGTACCCCATATTCCCCTTGTCCCCAGTATCCCAAATTCCCGTGTTCTCAGTACCCCAGATTCCCCTTGTCCCCAGTTCCCCAGATTCCCCGTGTCCCCAGTACCCCATATTCCCCTTGTCCTCATTACCCTAATTTCCCCTTGTCCCCAGTACCCCAGATTCCCCTTGTCCCCATTACCCCAGATTCCCCTTGTTCTCAGTACCCCAGATTCATCGTGTTCTCAGTACCCCAGATTCCCCTTGTCCTCATTACCCCAGATTCCCCTCGTCCTCCGTACCCTAGATTCCCGTGTCCTCAGTACCCCAAATTCCCGTGTCCCCTGTACCCCAGATTCCCCGCGTCCTCATTACTGTAATTTCCGCTTGTCCCCAGTACCCCATATTCCCCTTGTCCCCAGTACCCCAGATTCCCCTTGTTCTCAGTACCCCAGATTCCCCTTGTCCCCAGTACCCCAGATTCCCCTTGTCCCCAGTACCCGAGATTCCCTTTGTCCTCATTACCCCAGATTCCCCTTGTCCTCAGTACCCCAGATTCCCCGTGTTCTCAATACTCCAGATTCCCCTTGTCCTCAGTACCCCAGGTTCCCCTTGTCCTCAGTACCCCAGATTCCCCTTGTTCTCAGTACCCCAGATTCCCGTGTTCTCAGTACCCCAGATTCACCATGCCCTCAATACTCCAGATTTTCCTCGTCCTCGTCCTCGTCGAGACTCCCTACTCCGACCTCTTCATAGTCCTTCTCCAGAGCAGCCAAGTCTTCACGGGCCTCGGAGAACTCTCCCTCCTCCATACCCTCACCTACGTACCAATGAACGAAGGCACGCTTGGCGTACATCAGATCGAACTTGTGGTCAAGACGAGCCCAGGTTTCAGCTATCGCTGTTGTATTTGCCAGCATGCAGACGGCTCTCTGGACCTTGGCCAGATCACCACCGGGTACAATGGTTGGTGGTTGGTAGTTGATGCCGACCTTGAACCCAGTGGGACACCAGTCGACGAACTGGATGCTTCTTTTGGTCTTAAGAACGCTAATTGCAGTGTTAACGTCTTTGGGAACAACATCACCACGATATAACATGCAACATGCCATGTACTTTCCGTGACGGGGATCACATTTCACCATCTGATTGGAGGGTTCGAAACATGCATTGGTGATTTCAGCGACGGTCATTTGTTCATGGTAAGCTTTCTCAGCCGAGAGGACAGGTGCATAGGTAGCCAGAGGGAAGTGGATACGTGGGTAGGGCACCAAGTTGGTCTGGAACTCGGTCAGATCAACATTCAAAGATCCATCAAATCGGAGAGAGGCAGTGATGGAGCTGACGATCTGACCAATTAGTCGGTTGAGATTTGTGTACGTTGGACGTGATATATCCAAATTCTTGCGGCACAAGTCATAGATAGCCTCATTATCAACCATAAAGGCAACGTCAGTGTGCTCTAGGGTAGTGTGGGTTGTCAGGATAGAGTTGTAGGGCTCCACGACGGCGGTGGAGATCTGGGGAGCTGGATAGATCGCAAACTCTAACTTTGACTTCTTGCCGTAGTCGACACTGAGACGCTCCATTAACAGAGAGTTGAAGCCAGATCCAGTTCCACCGCCAAAGCTGTGGAAGACGAGGAAGCCCTGAAGGCCTTTACACTGTTCGGCCAGCTTCTGGATCTTCTCCAGGACAAGGTCAATCATCTCTTTGCCGATGGTGTAGTGACCACGGGCGTAGTTGTTGGCGGCGTCCTCCTTACCGGTTATCAGCTGGTTTGGATGGAACAACTGACGGTAGGTGCCGGTACGGACCTCATCTGTGGGAACAACATAAGAATAGAAGTGGGAACAATGACCTCTAGTTTCAATATATTGTAATTGCTTCGTAATTAGAAATGGTAAATACTGACATATTATTTTTTTTGGAATTCGTTAAAACAAGTATAAAATACCAATAAATCTTATCCAATTAAGTGCGCCACCCACCAATCACAGTAGGTTCGAGGTCGACGAAGACGGCCCTTGGGACGTGTTTCCCTGCTCCAGTCTCGCTGAAGAAAGTGTTGAAGGAGTCGTCTCCGTAACCAATCGTCTTGTCTGAGGGCATCTGACCATCAGGCTGGATGCCGTGCTCCAGACAATACAACTCCCAGCATGCATTGCCCATCTGGACTCCGGCCTGGCCGACGTGGATGGAGATACATTCCCTCTGAAGATAAGATTAAATGTCATGATAGAAAGATGCGTGGAACTATGAACTGTTTTGGAGAAGTTATTGGAAAACAGTACTGCTGTTGTTTGTATTTATGCCTAAACTATGAGTATAAATCCACAGTATTAGTGTTTTTCATTCCCGATTTTCGTACTAAAACAGTTTGAATGTCAAGTGTAGTTGACATTTGACGATTACCGAATCTATACCGACTAATGGCGAATTCGTGCAAGATTGCTGATAAAGTGTTGTCATATAAATGTTTGGCTTGAAACAAATTTGCAATATGACATTATATAAAGCCCTATTTTTTCTGGTTTTATATTCTGTCACGTTTATCTGGTAGTAGATGATACACCGTCCATTGTGAATGTTGCATTATCCACGGTGAATACTGATCGATATTCCTGAATAGCTCAACAGCTAGCAGTCGTCAATATTTACCAATTCCAAAACCATGTGCCGTTATGATTTTAGAAATGTTTGTATCTTGCCGTACATGCATTTGTACAAAAACCTTTAATATCCCGAACATGAAATTGAAATTCATTAAACAGTTACATGAACAGACAATCATCGTTAGTGTTTGTTTTATTTGTTTATTGATTAGAAGTAGTTACTAACAAACAGTTGACCCATGTATGTAGATATCGTTCCTACGATAAGGTATGGATCACATTTACTGATGTCGTGTATTCTGGCCCAGTGTTAACTGTTACGTCTCATAGCTGAGTTCGAATCCCGTTTCACTCCGAGTACGACCCTTGGTCTATCAGCACCATACTAGTCACTTTTGACTTTCCCATTTATTAAAAAAAAATGTGATAGAACTTATGTACTGTTGAAAGCATCGATGAACCGATCACGCTCACAGATCATTGCTTGTGATTTAGGGCAGTTTGCACCCAATAAATTGTTTCAAGTTGTCACACGTATGTGTTTAATATTCCACTTCCAGTCATATTCCACACAAAGGAATGCTTAATGGGCAGAGGAAGCGATATAGAAGCAAAAACTGATACCACAGAACCAAGTGATTATTTAACATAATACTGACAATCAGCCTAGATCTTGTTCAAGCATCACAGATCACGCATCGATGTTAAACTCTCTCTCCGACGCCCCTCAAAGGCGGATGATCGATATATCGTAAATATCACTGTCAGTATTTCCCAATTACCTTCATATAGGCTTCCATATTAGGAAGTGATGATGTTATCATTATTCCAGGGTGTGGGGAGTGTTGATGCAGCGGCCATGCAAACAGAAACCTTCAGAGACTATTGTCAGGTGATGGTCATGAACGCAGAGATACTGCTTGTGTGTGTTTCATCTACACGATGCAAGTGGATTTAGTTACTGTGGATTAATCACTTCATTTGTATACGTACAAATTCCATGTATTTATGTTGCTATCACAGCTGCTACTATCGACATTTACTTCGATCTCAACCTCCCTGGGGTTGCCGGTCGTCTTACTATTCAACATATTTTTGCTGATAATACAGCTATGTTTTAATCGATGTTAATGAATGCCTATTATACCTCTTCTAAAACCACTAAAATTCAGTCTTTTTACCACCACTTCCAAAACCACGATCATTCACTGTGGTAGCAACCACTTCTAAAGCCGTGCCTAGTCACTGTGTGAAAGAAACCACTTATAAAGCCACGCATATTTACTGTGTGTAAGCAACCACTTCTAAAGCCACGCCTGTTTACTGTGTGTAAGAACCACTTCTAAAGCCACGCCTATTTACTGTGTGTAAGAAACCATTTCTAAAGCCACCGCTATTCACTGTGTGTAAGCAATTGCTTCTAAATCCACGCCTATTCACTGTATGGAAGTAACTGCTTCTGAAACCACGCCTATTCACTGTTTGTTAGCAACTACTTCTAAAGCCACGCCTATTCACTGTGTGTTCGCAAATACTTCTTAAGCCACGCCTATTCACTGGGTGTTAGCAACTACTTCTAAAGCCACGCCTATTCACTGTGTGTTAGCAACTACTTCTAAAGCCACGCCTATTCACTGTGTGTTAGCAACTACTTCTGCAGCCGCGCCTATTTACTGTGTGTTAGCAACTACTTCTGCAGCCACGCCTATTCACTGTGTGTAAGCAAATGCTTCTGAAGCCACGCCTATTCACTGTTTGTTAACAACCACTTCTAAAGCCAAGCCTATTCACTGTGTGTTAGCAACAACTTCTAAAGCCACCGCTATTGACTGTGTGTAAGCAATTGCTTCTAAATCCACGCCTATTCACTGTGTGGAAGTAACTGCTTCTAAAGCCACGCCTATTCACTGTTTGTTAGCAACTTCTTCTGAAGCCATGCCTATTTACTGTGTGTTAGCAACTACTTCTAAAGCCACGCCTATTCACTGTGTGTAAGCAAATGCTTCTGAAGCCACGCCTATTCACTGTTTGTTAACAACCACTTCTAAAGCCAAGCCTATTCACTGTGTGTTAGCAACAACTTCTAAAGCCACCGCTATTCACTGTGTGTAAGCAATTTCTTCTAAATCCACGCCTAGTCACTGTGTGGAAGTAACTGCTTCTAAAGCCACGCCCATTCACTGTTTGTTAGCAACTTCTTCTGAAGCCACGCCTATTCACTGTGTGTAAGCAAATGCTTCTGAAGCCACGCCTATTCACTGTTTGTTAACAAACACTTCCAAAGCCACGCCTATTCAATGTATGTTAGCAACCGCTTCTAAAGCCACACCTATTCACTGTGTGTGAGCAACCACTTCCAAAACCACACCTATTCAATGTATGTTTGCAACCGCGTCATAATTCATGTCTATTCACTGTGGTGTGTCAGCAACCGCTTCTAAAGCCAAGCACATACACTGGCGTGTGTTAGCACTCACTACTAAAGCTACGCCTATTCACTAATACGTGTTAGCAACCACTTCTGAAGCCACGCCTATTTACGGAGTGTTTGCAACCATTCCCAAAGTCACGTCCATTCACTGTGTGTTAGCAACATCTTCTGAAGCACCCTCTTTCAAGGTCTCGTTCAATGACAATACAGTAGCAGCCACAATAAAGACACGCCTATATAAATTAACATGTAGGACAAGATGATGAAGATGATCATCGTCTTTATTACATTGGTAACATCCATACTATGTTTTTTAAAAATAATTTTACTGTTTTGTTGCATTTATCAACATGTTACAGAGAAACAAACAAGGGGAGAATAAGTCTTCAGCAGCCCGTGTTTGCCGTAAAAGGCGACTATGCTTGTCGTAAGAGGCGACTAACGGGATCGGGTGGTCAGGCTCGCTGTCTTGGTTGATGCATGATGCATGTCATCGATCCCAATTGTGTGGATCGATGCTCATGATATCAATCACTGGATTGTCTGGTCCTGACTCGATTACATACATCCTGCCGTCATATAGCTGGAATATTGCTGTCGTTAAACAACAAACAAACAAACAAACAAACAATCACCCCGGGATAGTATGGAGTAACATTGATCTCAGTACTGCTACATCCTACTCTGCTGTCATACTAAACATATCCAAATCTTAAGATCTTACACTGCATGAACCCCCACGTTTTGAACCAACTGCAACACAGCGATCAACACGGGCAAAGAAAGGTTTTAGAAGCACTGTTTCTACCAGCTGGTTGTACAGTGCAGCAACATTCATTCATCTTCATGTCCAATATTATGTGACTAGCCAGCATATACTATGATACGGGCGACACATATCCGTCAAATGTATTTCAGGCTTGTCTCAAATGTTTCACTTAAACGCCAGAGTCCCAGGGAAGGATCAAGATGGTCGCCATCTGCCGTCGTCACCAGGAACTTGATTCGCTCAGTCATTGTTTATTCATCAAAGTCAGATAAGGTACAGGTACTGTATATATTCATCAAAGTCAGATAAGGTACAGGTACTGTATATATTCATCAAAGTCAGATAAGGTACAGGTACTGTATATATTCATCAAAGTCAGATAAGGTACAGGTACTGTATATATTCATCAAAGCCAGATAAGGTACAGGTACTGTATATATTCATCTACTGCCGGTACACATTGTATGAAGACGGGAATGAAACATCCTGCTTCAATAGATTCCACACGGCGGAGGCCTCGTGACACAGCGACCAGGAAGAGCTATCAGCTGCTATGACAGCTGTCCTAGTGCGCCATGAAGCATACGCGACTATAAACGTTAATTAAAATAATTGTTATCTTATAGAATCCATGCTGATTAAAAAAGATAAGTATTCGTTATTTTATTTCCTTGTATTTCGAAGTTCTTAAATTCGATCGCATTCCCCAATAATACGAATCATTGGAACTATTTTCCTCTCAAATACGCCTTACAATATGCTTTATGTGTGCAGAAAGTTTGCGGAAACCATTAAGCATTCACACATGATAAGAAAACGTTTGATACTTACCATTTTGCTAAGTCCAAAAGGATCACAAAGTTACGTGTAGTGTGGTTGCCGCAATGACGGAGAATGATCACACCTCACTTAGCTGTGCTGACGTGCCGGTATATTATACTATAGCGTAGCAACGCCACTATTTTCACATGTCACCCTAACGACTAAATAGCACTCTTGGTGCATCATTGTCAATCAGATATGTCTTTAGCAGGACACCACGTTGTCATGGAAACGGGAATTTACTGATAACCAATGACAACCACTAACATCAATAATTCCGTACAGTCACTGCAACTGTGTAAACATCCCCATTAATTTTCAATCCAGAGCCCAATAGAACTGCACACGTCTGATTGCTCCTGTACAGAGCAGGAGGGGGGGGGGGTCTATTGTTGCTGGTGTGGATTTCTGTTATTGGTGAAAAGTGACAGTGCTAACTGTGCCAGTGTAACAAATCACGTGTGTTCAATATTAGATAAAGCATCACAACTCCAATTGTTGTGAATCCCACTATGGACAGGACAACGGTGTATGGTGAGAGAGCTCCATGTAAATCTTCTGATCAAATAACCCAGTGCTCAGATGTGACTAGTAATGTCTTTTCATATTCGTTACTTTACTGTGGTACGAATTATTTCTAAATTGATTAGTTTCTAGTGATTGAGTGATAAGGGTGTTGGCGCTTCTAGCTCATCACAGTGGGAGGAACAAAGTATTTTGCTCTAGAAATTGTGTCTATGTGGGAGTACTAAGTAACTTTGTTTTTTAAACAGATAAGCTGACCGTCCTCCCCTGGTGCATTACAAACAACATGTGATAATCACGGTCAGTATGACAAAAGGCTGAACTATATTTCCAAAATAACAGTTTGTATTTCTGACTGTTAAGGAGATATTTTACCTGTGCAAATGCGACAATGTCTACTTTTGCTAAAATCACAACACAAACGACAATACTCCCAGCTAGTATTAGTATAAGGGGTAGCATTAGTAGTAACAGTAGCTGCAGTAGTAACAACAGCAGCAGCATTAATAGAAGTAGTAGTAGTAGTAGATCTAGTAGAAGCGGTAGAAGTAGCAGTAGTAGTAGTAGTAGGAGGAGGAGGAGGAGGAGTAGTAGTAGCAGTAGAAGCAGCAGCAGCAGTAGTAGTAGCAGCAGTGGCAGTATTAGTAGCAGTAGCAGTAGCAGTAGCAGTAGCAGTAGCAGCAGTAGCGGTAGTAGAAGCCGCAAAAACCGTATTCGTAGTAGCAGAAGCAGTAGTAGCGGTAGTAGTGGCAGTAGTGGGAGTAGTAGTAGTAGAAGTAGCAGCAACGGCAGTAGTTTGTTTGTTTGTTTGTTGTTTAACGCCGCACTCAACAATTTTCAAGCTATATGACGGCGGGCTGTAAATAATCAAGCCTGGACCAGACAATCCAGTGATTGAAAACATGAGCAGTAGTAGTTGATATAGTATCAGAAGCAAAAGCCGCAGCAGTAGTAGTGGTTACAGTAGATGTAGGTATAGTAGTAGCAGAAGCAGCAATGATAGTACCAGTAGCCGTAGCAGTAATAATAGTAGTAATATTTGTATTAGTAGGAGTAGCAGTAGTAGTTAGAGTAGCGTCTGTAGTGGTAGTAGCAGTGATAGTAGTGGTGATTGTAGTAGTAGTAGTAGTAGTAGTAGCAGTTATAGTAGTAGTAGTGGTGGTAGCAGCATAGCAGTATCAGCAGTATAATACTACTAATACTAATACTAATAATGATGATGATGATGATGATACTACTACTAATAATAATAAAGCGACAAAGCCCTTTCCATATCCAATAGAAATCTCAACTTAAAGGATAGTCGACAGTACGATTCCGACTATGTCATGAACATGTGTTTATGAATCACTATCAAAAAGTGATGATACCAGGTGTTCGCCAAAAGGTGAGCGTATCCTGCCCCTGTGGTGAAGCAAAAGTATTACTAATACTAGTAGCAGTAGTAGTAGCAGCAGTAACAGTAGCAGAAGTAGTAGTAATATTACTAGCAGTAGCAACAGCAGTAGCAGCAATAGTAGTAGCTTTAGCCGTAGTAGTAAAGTATTACTGCTGCCATTGTAACAATACCTGTGTTCGAGTATGTTGTTAGATAACATGACGATGTGTCAGGTGCCCTCCCCCCCCCCCCCCCCCCCCCCCCCTCGCTCCATCTGTCACCACCAGGCCCGCGGTATACATGCATGCCGAGTATATAACTGACATACTCTACTACTGGCGTTGTAATAACCAGATGTCACAACTGTGGTTTGGATGTCAGTCAATATGCAGTTCAGCATCGTGCAACTTAACCCCGACTCTGTAGGAAGTCTGTCAGTCAGCTATGGTGATGGATGAGCTAGAAACGCATGATCCATCCTAATGTTTGAGAAGCGCAGGTTTTTCATAGCAAGAATCTGACGGCGCTACGAGGACATGGTCCTTCATTTATGTCAGACATATCCATTTATGTCAGACATATACATTTATGTCAGACATATACATTTATGTCAGACAACTAATTAAAGAATCCGCTGCCTGTATTCTCTGTGGAGATTCGGCCCGTATGGCCCGTGTCCTATGTCCTGTGTCCTATGTCCCGTGCACCTTTGCCCTGTGTCCTTTGTACCGTGCACCTTTGTCCTGTGTCCTTTGTACCGTGCACCTTTGTCCTGTGTCTTTTGTACCGTGCACCTTTGTCCTGTGTCCTTTGTACCGTGCACCTTTGTCCTGTGTCCTTTGTATCGTGCACCTTTGCCCTGTGTCATGTGTCCATTGTACCGTGCACCTTTGCCCCGTGCCCTGCGTCCTGGACCATGTGTCCTCCATGTGCTTGTCATGATGACCGGTTGTCAGTTTCGTGTTTGTGAGAGTGTCAAGAGCGTCCTAGTGTAACTAATGCAATACCTAAGTAAATTTCATCAACTTTAAAACGGCTTACCACCAATTTGTGCGCAATTGTAATGAAATGTTCAGCACGAGTTCCATGACAATATATTATGATCTTAAAGAAAACTATCACATAAACCCCGTGTTGAAGATACCGTGACATATCTCTCCCGAAACACATACAAAGCATCATATGTGTAAAACCACCAAACCATGACACCAGCAGATATATACAATATATATTTCATCATATACGTTCATGTCTCAATATAACGCTATTCCGCATCATTTTAGTATAGTTGTCAAAAGGTAAATCAATGGACACAATATTCAATGGAAACTTCAGTGAAAGGGCTTTGGAAATGTTTCGAATGAAAGTATGCAGGGCTATCATTGCCATCCCGTCATGCAGTGTGGTTCGTTCTGAGTCTGCGCATGTCAGTCCGATATCATTTCTCTCATAGCAGCATCCTAGAAAGCTGAGTGAGATCTGCGCTCCCATTTAACCAAGTTTTACCAAGTTTTACCAAGTTTTACCAAGTCTTCCTTGTGGTTTTATCACGTCACAATGGTGAGTACTATCTTAGGCACTTAGGTAAATTCACATATTTAAAGCTGTTT